TGGCAGTGCCTTTAGAGCATTTGATTGGATGAGTATATTCTCGCGCGATGTGATTGGTTTGGCGTATATCTTGCCGTGTCAAGACCGCGCATGTGCCGTGAGCTTTTCCCAGTCATACGAAAAATTGCATTAACTACACACACGAGCATGCGCGCGTTTTCTATTTCTCCACTACGTAGTGGGGGGATGAGGAGTAGCTCACAAAGTATAACATTTCCTAATGTTTTTGCCTGAGATTGTAGCTTCTTAATGAACAAGGAGAACGTACAGTCCCTCTTAGTGATAGTTATTCAATACATTTAGTTATTTCATCTATCCTTTTCCCGAGAATGAAAGCTGCAAATCCACTGTTCAAACTTTGCTGTGTTCCAAATTTCTGGGCTGCACAGTGGATCTAAAAATAACAAGGGTTTGTGTTAGGGAGGGGGTGTTTTTGGTATCCTCTGCATGGGGTAAGTAAACCAATTCCCAGGCACTAGGGTAGCTCTAGGTTCATATCATCAGGAGCTTAGGCTCAGTTCATACGTCGAACTTCATATGAGCCGAACATAATTGAAACAATGAATAACAAGGCGGTCTTCTTTGATGTCATTAGGTACGGCTCATATGAAGTTCCACGTTTGACATGAGCCTTAGAACCAGTACAAATCCTACCCAAATAATTTAGTCACTTTTATCACGAAATTAAGATACAAATTATTATATTTTATTAGCATTCTAAGATAATTTTATTTTACATAAATCACTTAAAAACTACACTTCAAACTTACATTTTAGACTTTTAAAGCCACTAAACTTGTTTAAAAAAATCGATCTACGTTGTTGCACTAGTCTCAGACTACTCTTACAATTTAATATTATTTGGACATACTATTTATTTTTCATTCCTAAAACTCATTAGCTAATATAGTATTTTAAAAGTTCTAAGTATTTTTATACTAGTATATACAGTGACCCGCTGGATAGAAATATTTTTGGTCACCTAGACATACTCCCTACCCACCCCTCCCTCCTCCTTTGGGTATTGGTTACGAATGCTTGTTTGCTGTAGCACAAAGAACGAGGCATGGTTTTCTAAACCACTACAGGAGTGATACATTGCTTCACATTTTGTTACTGCAGAGGGAGTATTCAATGTATAGCAGCCGCGGGGGAGGGCCGGAGAAACCTATCTAGTCTAATGTGGGGGAGATATCAAAGAGTTGGTAGCCATTGAAGAAGGCTGAAAGTAGAATGGGGGTGTGACGATTTTGCGCTCCCAGAAAGGAATTCTGGGTCAACTGTTTTTGGTCAGCATTGTCCTAGCAGGGACTGAGTACAATGTAGATTTCTCTTGTTGATTAAAATTGGATTCCACCATGATTTCGACTCCTAGTGTTTACGATAATTCGTATTTCATGGGTTCTCTTGGCAGAATCAAGGAAAATGCTAATCAAAATACAATGCCGAATACTCAATTCTGATGGTCAACTCAGCTGGTTGAATAGAAAAATGGCTGTTGGTTTTCCGGCGCTACCCCTTGCAAAAACAATGAATGCTCATGAAAAATGTCTTCCAAATAAGTCCTGGTTATTGGTACAAGATGCCATTGGTCGCATCTGATCTTGAATTGGGCAATTTTCGTATCTTTTCTGCTTCAAGGAGTAAGAAATTGCGCCAAAAATTCTCACTTCAAACACTGCGAATCATATCGTGAGACAGTTGCGTCTTGTGTCTTAAAAATTTGAAGTGACTCGAATGCACGACCGACGATGTCTTGTCTGACTTGTCCTTTAGTGAGGCTTGTATTCAAGCATCAACTGATCCTTGTTCGCTGAGGGAGTCTTGGAGACTTTGCAGGGTCTTCTTGATGCGTAGCGCAGTGAGTCGGGCTGCAGGGTTGTGGTACCAACATTCTTTCATGATTCTTGCAAACTTCATCATGACCTGCAGCAAAGGAGAAAAATGGAGAATGTGTGAAATTTGTGACAAGAATGTACAATGACAAGAATGTGTCTTAGCTAGCCTTGTAGGAGTAAGGGAAAGGGAGAGGAAGGATGAGAAGGAAAAAGGGAACAAGGAAAAGGAGACAGAAAAGGAGAAGGGAAGGAGGAGGAGGAGGAGAAAGAAAAGGATGAAGGACAAGGAGGAGGAGACCGAGAAGAAAGGAAGGAGGATGAGGAGAAAGAAAAGGATGAAGGAGAAGGAGAAGGAGACCAAAAAGGAGAAGAAGGAGACCAAGAAGGAGAAAGAATATAGAATGTGTGTTACCTCGTCCTGCTTCCATCTATTTGAATGTAAAGGTCGGTACTTCTCCACACAGACCACCTGAAAGACGTCTTCAATACTTGGATCAAGACAGACTTTATCATAATATGGCAACTGGTATTCTTCACACATTCCACCCAGCGTACATCGTCTTGAGATCTCCCAGAGAACCAGACCAAAAGCATAGATATCTCCTCTCTTGTAGGCATCGAAGGTACGTACAGATTCACTGTCTTCAAGAAACTCTGGGGCCATGTAACGCTTGGTTCCAACACGACTTCCATTAGGAATATCTACGATGTCGGATGAAGCAATGTGCCGTACTGCTAAACCGAGATCGGCTATGCAGCATGATCCTGCAAGAAGAATAGGAAGAAATTTAAAGGACAATACAGTGAAGGACTCAACAGCTGTTAGGAAGTAGGAGACTTGGCAGCATACTGTAATTCTGATTAAAAAAATTCTACCACTGACTACATACCATTCTTCTTGACCAGGATGTTCCTACTTTTAAGATCTCTGTGTGCAATGGCAGGCTTTCCCAAAATGCCAGTGATTTCCATGTGTAGATGAGCCAGGCCACATGCTGTCGACAGGGCCAGGGTCAGCATACTTTGTACATCTAATGTTACACCTTGTAGGTAGTCGTACAGGGATCCATTGCTGTGATAATCTGTGATGAGCCAAAGTTGTGTCCATGCACCATTGTCTTTGTTGTCGGCTGCAATAAAACCTGAAAAAGGAATGTGCCATAGTATTAAAGACAGGTAAAACAGAAAGGAAATCTATAAACAGATCTCTGTGGAAATAGCTTGGGCATTTGTTTTGCCCATTTTATACCATGCATCCTTCCCTAGAGTATCATTTCTTTGTTTGAATTGCATCTAGATAAAGAAATGACACTCAAGGGAATGGCATGTGGTATGTATTACAATGCAAGCTAAAGAGGTGTATCGGAGTTTGGAGAACAAGCATTGGTAGTGTTCATATTCATATTTTCAAAAGAAATTCAAACAGAAAACAAGGAAAGAAAAGAAAAAAAAGAATAGAAGTGGTGCAAGTGTTACCTAAAATGTTTTCATGTCGAAGCATCACAGTCTGGTAGATTTCAGTTTCTCTCGTCCAGGAACATTCATCACGTGAGGAAAAAATCTTGACAGCGACATCTTCACCTCTCCATTTCCCTCGGTATACCTCCCCATATCGCCCAGTGCCAATCAACTCTACCACTGTAATCTGCCTTGCAACTGTTCTTTGGACAAGAAGTGGTAATCCTGAACCAGAGCCTTTGGCGGGAAAAAAAAATCAATAATTAACTACAAAKAAGTACCATAATTAGCAACCAAACTTCATGCAATTTCACTATTGCCCATAAGGAGAAGTCTATTAAGTAAGAAGTTTATTTATTTATTTCAACAATATTTATACAGGGATGTCTCATTTAGCAGAGTTAGTTTAAAGAGAGCCCTGTTAACATACACACACACACACACACATACATAAACTTTATTTCCACACAATAAGTAATTAAAGCATACGCTTATGGGGTCGTGCATCTAAATCAAATACAATGAAAATATAAAGGAAACCAAATAAATATTAACCTAAATCAATCATCTAAAAAATAATTTTATAATAGAAGAAAAATTTGAAACCTACTTGTTTCTTTTTTTTCAGGTTAATATTTATTGCCCACTTAGAATATACATTTTGAGTCAGTGATCAAAATAATACTAGTGATAAGTCCATTGTTTCCCTAAAGCATTGATTTTTAACATTTTGTGAGCGATCAGATTACTCAACAAAAATCCCTAAAGTGGGATATTTCTGTAGCATTAAGTAGTTTGGTATATTCTTCTTGTACTCATCCAAACCAAACTCCAATTTTTGCTGACCCTGAAATATCGTCTGGGCTGATTTAAAACAGGTCTCAGCTAACTTATAGAATGAATTAAGATTGAGTGTGTTGGGCTTTAGAGAGGGAAGATAGCTGGAGAACCAGAAGAAAAACCAAGGAAGCACCGGTGGCGTGCGCTGCTAATGCACCACCTCTCACCAATGTAATCCGGAGTTGAGCTCCCCAGGTCTCTGTGTCATATGTGAGTAGAGTTGTTTGTTGGTTCTCTCCTGTGCTTCAAGGGTTTTTCCTCCAGGTTCTCTGATTTTTCCTACCTCCACAAAAATTAATTTCTAAATTCTAATTCAATCTATAAYGGCTGCCTTATCAATTGGGTTGCAAGGCCTGTTAGGCATTAAGCTGTCCACCCAGGAGTGGTAAACACATTAGATTAGATTAAATCAAACGAGAGACGAATGAGAGAGGATGTGACGCCTGATTGCCATTTATACAACTATACCACTGCAGAAAGATAAGTATTTTTACCTGTTGAAATATCATGTAAAGCATCATGTAAAGTCATCCCAGGAGGAATATCTAGGTCTTCTTCAGAGTTCACCCCTCCATAGGATGGTAACTGGGATTTGCGATGTTGATAGTACCATATAAGTAGCATTATGCACATGCATATCACAAACATTGGACATGCAATAATGGCTGCTACTACTGCAGTGCTGAGATTAAGGGACTTGTAATCCTTGTCTAGATGGATGGAGATATATATCAGACATGTTAGCTACAATTTTAATAGCTTCAATTTCAAGAAAAGGACAATTGAATTCAAGAATTAAACAAGAACGTAAATAAATTAACAACTTAAACAAGAGGGGAGTAGATGCATTATAGAAAGAATGCAATGAGTATCTAGTCAATAAGTAAATTTAAATTCAACCGTAAAGTATTTTAGTTACTAGATCAAGCATTTTAAGAGACAAAAAGGGGTTGCATTGCTCTAGAAAACTTTTATTTTGATCAGCATCTTAACATCAGGGAACAGTCGCAAGTGTAGTCAAAGCAACAAACATGGTGATGTTGTGAGCTGACATTACTATATGATTTTTTTCTTAAAATTCCCAAAATTGAATCTTTTCAAATGAAAACCAAATTTCACACATCCTAGTCAGTAATGTATAGAAATGGCATGGATTGGCATTTTCTAGCCTAGCTGTTTTTCCCGTGATTCGTGGATAATACTTCTCTCTTACATTATTATATATTCTTAGATTGCACCTTACTTCATTGTGGCCTCTCAGGGGAGTTTTAGTGCCATTAATTAACAAAAGGTTTATAATTAGCATCTATTTTTACAATGGATGGCCACCATGTTTTTGTCTTTTGACTCTCTTGGGAATGCTTGGAACCCATCAATATGATATGCTAGAGCGGATGCAATTAAACCGTGAAATAAAATCACACTCAATACTAACTAATAGTTTCTATTTAGTGACTAATAGTTGCTATCACTCAGCCAGAACATTCATCATACAAAGACAAATACATAAGAGACCATTTGTGTCTTTTGTTTAATAAATGTTCTGGTTGAATAATAAGTGACTATTAATCACTAAATAGATACTATTAGTTAGCATTTAGTTTGATTTTATTTCATGGTTTAATTGCATCTGCTCTAGTGTAGTGTTCAAACAAAGGTTAACTAATTACCTTACTTTTTAACACTCATAAAGCTTACCTTCATCCAAAGACACTAAGGAAATGGCTGGTTTCAAAGTTGGGAGTGTCAAATTCACATCAATATTACACATGTTGTAGTAACAACAGTGATAAATAGAGTCAGTGCGACCATTATTAGCTTCTGGCTCACACACTGATCTATGCATAGGACTATGAAATCCACATGATCTTCGTCGTGTTACTTCGCCATCACCATTCCTTTTCAGTCTTGTTAGGCAACCACCAGTAGTTGTGCAAGTGAAGTTAGTTATTTCACAGAAGTCACAATAGCATTCTAATAGAACTCTGTTTTGAGTCACAGGAATCTGATCTAAAGTAAAAGATAGAATAGGAGTCAAAATAATACTGCAATTTGATCTAATTTTCCAAAATGTGTACAAATGTAGTTTTAGAAATTAACCACACCCTCCTCCCATAAGGGGAATTTTTAAAGCCCCCATCCCCCCCATAACTTCCAAATTCCTTGGGAGGGAGGAATATGGATAACTTCTGAAAAAGTTCTACACAATTTTGCTTTAAAAAGACAAACCAATTAACCTAGAGTGACCTCTAAGTAATTTGACATCTAGTCTATCTTAGTCTATCTAAGTCAGGACATGGCTAGCAAATTGGAAATCAGGATTGAGCAGGGGTGTAGCAAGGTCTCAATAATAGGGGGCGGCAGTGTACCATTTTCCTGCTAAATCCTGCATGGATAAAAATTAAATTTTGGTGCAAAAAGCAACCTTTTTGGGGGGCATGGGTTGGGGTGAAATTAAATGAGAACTTCTAGTAATTTATTTATAAGTATTTAAAATACTATTGAAACTCTCAGCCTAGTAAACAACATTTTTTTTTTGCACTCTATAATAAAGAAAAGGGACCTTAAAAAAAAACATTCAATTTATCTGGAAAGCAAGCAAAATGTCTCTTTTTACATTTCATTTTAAGTTTAATATAAATGGTTCTTTGAGCTAGTGTAAGTTGACTTAAATGACGCTTTGTTCGATTGGAGTGGCAACATTTTTATTCCAAACTGTGTCAACCTTTTTTAGGTTAAAAATATTTCGATATCAAAAAGCACACATTTTGGCTTTCTATATATAAGACTACGTAGATTTGAATTTCAAATTAAATCCCTATATGTTATTACTAAATATTCTTTTGTCTATAATATGGTACCTCCAAAAACTCGAAGATCGGTTTGATTGCTCGTCAACCAACGGCTGTCTCGAGATAGACAAAAGCAAAAAAAAAAAGCCGGGCTGAATATACCGATCGAGACGAGACACCGTAACAAATACTCTCGGCTTTTTATTCAAACATGGAGTCTTGGAGAGGGCAAAAGAGTCAACCACCAAGTCTACATGTCTTACATCGGTTACACGGAACGAACACAGACGAATCAACAGCTAAAATACCAGTTCTAATTCTCAAAGACCTATTAGATCGACTTTTACAGTCCTTAGAGGAAAGAAGAGTCAAAAAGGACAAAAAGCGGCGACAAGGGCGCGAAAACAATGGCGCTGTTCCATCCAGACAAACAACCCCATTCGATTCCGAGCGATAACTCGGTTAAAACACAGACGATTTCGCTCATACCTATCAATAATAGCCCTCCAAAGCATGCCAAAAGTGAAAGCCGTAGTCTGTAGTCCATGGGATATTATGGGACGTCGGCTGCACGATTGTTTTAGCCAAAACAGCATAAAATAAAAGCCCGTCTTGAATCTCAAAGCTGTCGGGTTTGTCGTCTGGAAACATATTACGATCGAAATCTACTTTTTTTACCACGTGACCGAAAAAACATACTCCCCTCCCATCCTTCCTAGGGGCTAAAGACAGTTTTGATCTTGTCCGAAAAAAGAAATGGGGCGCTATCTCTTTTACGACTACAATTTTACGAAATTAAAGTTACTAGTAAAAGTGATGTATATACTTTAGGAGAAAATGGTAAAATCAATTTTTGTATAAAAGAAGGTAGTGTGGGAGGGGGGAGGGACATATTTGCCACCTGGCAAAAGTCAGTGGAATGAAGTGGGGTGCTCTCTCTTACGAAGCAATAGAAATAGAAGGTTATAATTTTAATGACACTAGAGAAAAAAGGAAAAATAGTGGAACCAATTCGAATGCCATCATTCGATCTACGATATATACGCACCGGGGATGAGTAGGGCAAATTTGTTACAATGCAGTTTACTATTGTTTTACAAATCATAAGAAATCTAGGACTAAAAAAAATACTCTAAAAAAACTTATAAGCATTCATAGATAACTGTTTTAAGGATGTTTAAGTAAGTTACGTAAGCATTACCGAGAGAGGGAGGGAGGGGAAGGGGAATCTTTACAAAAAATCCTTTTCAGAGAAAGCTTGATTTTTCCCTTTTTTCAATGTTAACAAAATTGAACACAAGAAATCCTTATGAAATCCTTTTGAAAAATAATATCTTTTTTTAACTAATTATTAGTTTTTTTATCAAAATTTGGTGTATTGGGCTACCTGTGGTATTAGTACCCAGCCTTCATGCACACACACCTCCAGCAGCAACGTGGATCGACGGATTTCACCAGAAAATCAATAGAAATTTGAAGATTTCCTCAAAAATTATCATGTCTTTTGTAGAAGTTACTGCAGAAAGTCATTTTCCAATCCAAAACCTACCTTATGGGGTCTTTTCTACGGCTGATAACGTAAGAAAACGTGTATTGAAGGCACATGTTCATAAAGGCCATAGCAATTTTGCATAATCTCATTTTATAGGCTTTTTTGTTTCTTATTTATTTTTTGAGAATACTTAGCTTACTAGAGTAGTTTTATTTAGGCTGTTATACAAAGTCATATGATTAGTTACTAACAGTCAAAATAAGACAACAAAAAACAATGGAATTAGTGTGTAATTCTATGTATTACTGTAGGCAGTATTTACTTACTATCTTTTTATGGGCCAAGTAAGCTTAATTCTTTATTTTTTCCATATTTTATACAGCCTAAACAAAGGATAGGAGTAGCAATTGGTGACTATATTTTAGATATCAGTCAGGTTGCACATCTTTTTGATGGCCCGGTCATGCGGCAAAACCAAGATGTTTTGAAACAAGTAAGTTATTGATTTTTGTTGTGTAGATGTAAGTTTTTTGTGTTAGAGATTGTTAAAATGTATATTTATTTGACATGCATTCATGATTCTTGAACTCAGGCTTCCAATGTATCCATTCATTTTTCCATTTGGTATTTAATTAATTACTTCCATTCATCCATAAATCCACCCATCTCCCTAGGTATTCCTTTCATTTATTTATTGGTCATTAATAGATTATTCGTTCCATCTATCCATCCTTTGATTTATTGGTACAATGCATTCATTTATTCGTCCATCTATTCATTTTGTCCTCCCATCCATCTTCCATCTATCCTTTTCAGCAATCTATTCATTCATGTATACATTCATTCATATTAATAACTATATGTATTTTGTCTGTCCATCCATCCATCCATTCATCCATCCATCCATCCATCCATCCATCCATCCATCCATCCATCCATCCATCCATCCATTTATTCTTTTATCCTCCCATTCATTTAATATTCATACTAATGACTATGTACATGTATATATATTATTTTCTGTCAATCTATTCATTCATTCACCCATTTATTTATTTATTTATTTGACTCGCACATCCTCATTGAGATAGCTAACTTCTTTTTTCTTTTTCTTTTTAAGTCTACCTTAAATTCATTTATGAGTCTCGGTCCTGCTGCTTGGAAAGAAACAAGAGCAACCTTACAAAAGATACTTTCTAAAGATGAGGTACTATAATAGACCAGCTTCGAATTCCAAATTACCGCTGTGTTCCTTGATTACAGACTCATTTGCACAGGGTTAGTCTCGTATCAGTGTCGAAATATTTCCAAATACCAACGGTAAAGTAAAGAATGCACAACTTCAACGATACAAACACCTTGAAACTCGGCGGACCTTGACTGGAACATATGAATATTCTTCACAAAATCGAGGCTAACCCTGTGCAAATGAGTCTATAATCAAGAAACACAGCAGTAATTTGGAATTTGAAACTGGTCTATTATAACATCTGCATTCTCACCACCATTAGATAGAGCAATAACTCTGTCATTTACTAAATGTTTTCTTTTAATTATTGTATATGAGATATTTGACTTTTCATTTATTAGGCTGTTCTTCGAGATAATACAGAACTACGCTCAAGGTAAGAGCTTAGATCCAATTAATATACAATAAAACAGTTTTCAATGTTTGATACTCTGATCAAAACATGCAAGATGCAGAGAGAAGACTGAGAATAGTAGGAAAAGTGTTATCTCAACATCCCAAATGCTTTGATCAGAGTATCAAACACAGAAAACTATTTTTATATTTCTCTTGTGAAATAACAAGCACACAAAATAACAAAAAAGACTGTTTCATTTTTCCTATGAACGTTCAACTTCAGTGCTTTCAGCTCTACGAAGACATGTGCTTGTATTTTAATATTCCTCAAAAGTTGACAGTCCATTCAGTAACACACCATTAGTCCCCTTCACAGTTCCCTGCGCCATCTTGAAAGGTAGCCGTGCCTTTGCATCGAAGCGAGATGAACGGGGAGCTTGCAATGATAGAGACCTTTTTTTAACACCTTGAACAATTATTTATCACATGTCTCTATCATTGCAAGCTTGCTGTTCATCTCGCTTCGATGCAAAGGCACGGCTACCTTTCAAGATGGCGCAGTGAACTGTGAAGGAGACTATTGCAGTAGGAAGTAGCAAATTTAGTTTTTTATATGTAAGTCATTTAACAGCCTTGTTTTTAATCTTTTTAGGTGTCTTATTCCACAAAACAAGGCAACTATGCATCTTCCTGCAAGCATAGGTAACTGACTTGAGATAATTTGGAAAAAATGTGTTGTTCCAGAAAATATCCGTACGTACCCCACCAAGGGAATTGGAAATTCAGGAGGGAGGGGGGTCAGAGAAAGAACAAAATAACAGAGTTTGTATTGAAGAAAATTGAAATTCCTGGGGTATGCGAGTCCTTTTACGAATTCCCTCTGTGGTTGGGTATGGATATTTTCTGCAACTACACATTTCCAGGAAATATCCATCCATCCGCATGGGGGAATACCCATGCAGGTGGAATAAATCATACTAGGATATGAGCAAGAGTAATGGTTTTTACAAGCTGAACTTATACAAAGCTGTTCATCTAGTTTCTGTCCAAGTCGCTACTATTATTGTCCAAGTGTGACCTACAAAGTGTGATGTCCCATTCATGGACTAGCATTTCAACGACCATCAATCGAGGAACTGAAATAAAAAAATATGATTTATCTCAAGAAATGTTTTAAACTGAATTAAAGCTTTAAATAATCTAATCTCTTCTAAAATCTTTAAGAAGCCTGAATCGAGATGACGTTTTACCCTCGTCTCTAGACCATAATCCTTTTCACATTGCTTTTGTTCTTTAATTATGGCTATTGTTCCTGTATTCTCTAAGGGATCAAAAATTTTAATATGAAAGAATTTTAAAGACTATTATGGTATAGAGTCGGAGATAAAACATCATTTCGCTTCAGGCTTATTCAGTTGAACATTTCCCTCAAAATATTGTTTTTCTATTTCTAATTCTTTGATTGACCATCATTGAAATGCTAATCACAAGCATTTTTGCACTTTAATTACTCTGTTTGCACTTTAATTACTGTACGATAAGGCTTTCATGTTGGTGGCTTTTAATGAACTATTTCTCTTTAGCTTTCTTTGTTAATACCACCAATAAGTGGCTGCCATGTTTTTGTCTGTTGACTCTCTTCAAAGGAAATGGTTGCAAACCATCAATCAAATACTAATATTGTATTCCTGTAATGCTATAGGTGACTACACAGACTTTTATTCCTCTATTAGCCATGCTACAAATGTTGGTACCATGTTTAGGGGTAAAGAAAATGCTCTTATGCCAAACTGGTATGTGTTTTGACTATTGCAATACTCTAGATCTTAACATCATTAAAAAATATTTTTTATTCATGTTAATTTACAAATCATGATAACTGATTTATATGCATTACAAAGCCCTGGTTTATTTAGACTAGCACGGATGAGGTAACCTGTTTTTCACTGTTTTTTTTTWATAGGAAACATCTTCCAGTAGGGTATCATGGGCGTGCGTCGTCAGTCGTTGTATCTGGAACCCCTGTAAGGAGACCATCAGGACAAACACGTGCTGATGACAGTAAGAAACTCTTCCTTGTGCAGTTATCGAAGTATACATTCATTAATGATTTCTTTTATTTGACTCTTCATTCGTTAATTTACAGCCTGTATCATTCATTCCTTCATTTATCATCCATTCATTTATTTATCCCTCCCTCCCTCCCTCCCTCCCTCCCTCCATCCATCCATCCATTCATCATTAATCATTCATCATTCATCCATCCATTCATCATTAATCATTCATCATTCATCCATCCATTCATTCATTTTTCCTGCATACATCTTCTTATATATTTGTTTGTTTGATTTATTAATATTCCTGTGTTGTGTTTAGCCAAGCCACCGGTATTTGGACCTTGTAAGCTGTTAGACTTTGAGATGGAAATGGTAGGTTTTTTAATTTGAGTACCTCCACACAAAGTGTATTATTATTTTTTAGTATTAACCTACTCATGGTCTATCATAAATGCTGCACTGTGAGACACTTGTCACCAAAAAATCGAGGCTCTGGTAAAACCCAAACCTGAAGACCCAGATTCTAGGTGGTTAGATAATATTAATAAATTCAAATTTTTTTTTTCTTAAAAAGAAAAACAATCAAGCTTATTAAATTATTTTATGCTGTACATTGTTTATGGAACAGTTTATTTGTCTGTGATTAATGGTAAAGTATTCAAATTTCAACTGTTGACTGTAAAATCAGCGAACTGGAAACAGATGTGTCGTAGTAGATAATTTTATCACCGTAAGTACGAAAGATAGTAGACTGACGTTTCGGACGTTAGTCCTTCGTCGGAGTCGATCAAAACAGATGATTATGCTAAAAATTACAACAATTGAATTAGCGGCCAATTTGTGTGTTACCAGTGCCTTGGATCTTTTGTTAGAAAGCTGAGAAAACTTTGGGTACGAGAATGGGTTAAGCTACTATTGGTTTATTAGTGATTGACCACTAGTTGCAAAGAGTAGCAGTCCTGAAAACCAAAACGATGCAAAAATAAATTATTTGAACCTAATTTCAACAATGTTCGTATTCATTTATTTGACCAATAAGTTAGAGTAGGTTTATACTGAACCAATTAGATCTCTGGCTCTCATTGTCTACAAGTCAATAGCCCATGAAGTCTTGCTATTGACTCGTAGACCATTTGCGCTGCCACTCAAATTGTTTATTAAATATTGTAACAGCTATGCATTTTTTATATTCTTTGACAGGCTTTTTTCGTCGGTCCCGCAAACAACTTGGGTGAACCAATATCCATTGACAAGGTAAGTTACTACATGTACATTAATCTTTGTATGTCTACTGTGGAAGACTACCAGATAGAATATCAAAGTAGATAATATACTTGCAATTCTATCTGACAAACTGAACAGTTGTGCAACAACTGGGGATATGTCTGGCAGATGATCCATGGGTTGTGTACCTATATTATCAGTATTATAGTATATATTATTATTATTTTATTGCTGTTCTTCAGGCACAAGACCATATMTTTGGGATGGTGCTCATGAATGACTGGAGTGGTGAGTAATTGCTACTGTACTGCAATAAGGCTGATTTATAAAGTACAATTTCCCATCCCCCCCCAAACATGATTTGACTGATCAGTACCTCCCCTCCTCCTTTACCAGCCTGGAACCAAGTTTTTTTGAATCATAAGAATAAACATGGTTGCCTTGTGCCGCGCCTTGTATAATGCTCAAACATGGCACATGGAAGAGCATGTTGCTACAGGCTGTACTTGTTGGTGTCTTCTTCATAGTAATATCATACAGTTGGAGAGATGTTGAGGTGTTTGAGTTGCAAATGTCAGTTAAGATGAAAATGTCTTTTACAATGCCAAAAAAAATTGGTATTCAAAATCTCACAGCTTGAGATACAAATGTCTGAAGATGCATACAGCTGTGTGTCTTTGGCAATAATATTCAAAATCTTTCAGCCCGCGACATCCAGAAGTGGGAGTACGTGCCACTTGGTCCCTTCCTGGCCAAAAACTTTTCCACTACCATTTCACCTTGGGTGGTTACCATGGAAGCACTACAGCCCTTCAGTATTCCAAACTCTGTACAGGTTGGTAACTAAACCTTTTTGATTTTGATTTAGGGAAAAAACATCATTCATTTGGGTAGGGGGGGGGGGGGTTGGGGCTGTAGAGGGGAGAGTCATCAGTAAAAATTTGAATTTTTGTAGAGGGTCAAACCTTTTCTATTTCAAAGAAGGCTGTTGTTGACTTAATAGGAGGGTCATGAATCTCTTACTGAGTGAAATAGTGAGGGTTGCAACCATTTTTCAAAAGTTTACTGTGAATCCCCCAGTCCTCCCCTCACCCTCCCCCTCCCCAAAAAAGACGCTCCCCCACCCCCAATGAAAATCTATTTTCCTTTAAGAACTGTTTATCTTGGAAAAAACATATGTGAACTTACATGGGAAAACAATGAATTAGATCCATAGAATTTRTCTCATTCAATGAGAATTTACAAACCATTTTTACAAATTTTACTTCCTAGATAGTGATATAGTGTACTTGTATCTTACTAGTAATTTTTCTTCACAGGACCCAACACCTCTACCATACCTCCAGCACTCAGATCCCTACACATTTAACATCAATTTGGAAGTAGCTCTTAAATGTAGGTCCATTGTAAACCTTGTAAATGTTAATCTTGTTGAATGTCTACCACGACTATGTTTGTAATAATTTGAAATCCTACACAGAGCAGTTTTTGTACGGACTGTGAAAAGCTTACGGCACGAACACGGTCATGACACGGCAAGGGATTCGCCAGACCAATCACATCACACAAGAATTTACTTTCTATCCAATCAAATACCCAAAACACGGGAGAGAAAAATTCAGCCAACCAAAGCTCTAGAAAACATTACGGTCTTGGTAAAGCACACATATGGCTTCTTCACAGTCATACGAAAACTGCTCTAAGCATACATTGTAAGTTTTGAAATACGACATAGTTTTTAATGGTGAGACAGTTCTCCAATACAGCCTCAAGGAGTGATGAAAGCTTGAAAAACCTTTGAAAAAGCACTTCCTGAATGCCATATTACTAAATGTAACAAAAATAAAATGTTGTCAATATTGGTTTTTACATTTCTTTGCAAAGTTTGAGAGAAACTTGAACTTTGGGAAAGCGTCAAAAACCCACTTTATTTATCTGAGGGGTGACGCAGTTTGGAACGAATCAGAGTGTGCAGCGAAGTAGTAAAGTAGTATTACGCAGAGAAATTTTAATTTTTCAGCTTTAGAATGTAACATTTTAAAAATTGTATTACTGGAGCCTTAAATGGCATTCTAAGTTTCTCTTATTGAGAAAAAATACTTCTAACATAATTATTTTGGTTTGGTGTAATGTTTTCATATTTTATTCACTTCAGGTGAAGGTCTTTCAAACCCTGCTGTCATATGTAAAACGAATTACAAGGTAAATTATTGCCATCAGTTATAAAACTTCTTGATGTCATCGTTTCCTCTTCCTTCCTTCCTTCCTTCCTTCCTTCCTTCCTTCCTTCCTTCCTTCCTTCCTTCCTTCCTTCCTTTCTTTCTTTCTTTCTTTCTTTCTTTCTTTCTTTTACTCGATCCTTTCTTTTCGAATCTTCTCAGCAAATGTTTTTCTTAACACCTCTTTTTCCCCTCTTCATATTAGAATATGTATTGGACCCAGAAGCAGCATCTTGCCCATCATACTGTGACAGGGTGTAACGTTCGACCAGGTGACCTGATGGGGTCTGGCACTATTAGTGGAGAGGTAAGATTTATCCTTAAAATAAACAGTTACGAATATAAGTACAACGGCACGGAAATCCTTTCAACCAATCACAGTGCGCAAGATAATTCCTCAGCTAATCGAACAGATTTCGTATCAGTAAGAAAGCAGCCGTTCTGTGACCGTGCCGTATCTTACCTCAGTCATAGCTATAAAACGAGGAAAAATACGCTGTTTATTGCTTACTATCAATCACGTGAAGTTTTGGAGTTGACTGGGGGCAAACAAGCGGTTGATTTAGGATGTTAAGTCAAAACATGTGAAAATAAGTCTTCAAACTATTGTATTTGACTATTTCTATGACATGAAACCAGAAAACAAGAGAACAAAACAACCTCCAAGATTATACAAGCCATTAAAAACGCAGCTATTACCGGATGTGACGTCTATGGCCTTGGAAGCGCGTTTTTTTTTTTTTTTTTTTTTTTTTTTTCTTTTGACTATTCATCTTATCGCTTTTTATTTTATCTTTGTGTCATGATATTATCTTGATATGGTACAATACGTGTTATTTGTTATCCATACAGCTAAACATATTACCGTATCTCTTCATCTGTTTGATCAGTGTCTCTAATCTCCCCGCTCATTAATCTACACTGATCTTGCATTTGAATCCATTATCGGTGATGGAACTTGCGGCTATGAGCAACGGCTGTTATCCGCCCTCATGGATGCTGATGTTCTTATTATAAGGATATAGATTCAGAATATGCCAGTAATCATTCAAATTGATCTCTTGCCTCTATGTTATTAGGARTTACTTCCAAATTTCTGAAACGCCTATGGTTTCATTTTATCATTCTAGTCAGTTTGTCCATCACTCGTATCATTCAATACACCTGCCGCATTCGATGAATACCGCTGATTTTGAAGACCGCAGACTCATCTGCACAGGCCCAGCCTCACTTAAGAGCAAATCATTTGCAAAAGTCACCTGAAATGCGAAGAATATGCAGCTTGAACAATACCAATGTTTCGAAACCCGACGGACTTTTAATGGTATTTGTAAATAGCTCACTTATAAACAATGTTAAGCCTGTGCAAATGAGTATGTAGTCTTCAAAAACAGCGGTATTCATCGAATGCAAAACTGGTGTATTCAATTTTAAAATAATTTACAATCGCCTTCAAGTAATGCCTTTTTATGGTAGTTCGGTTTATGATAACGCCAGTCCTAAAATGAAGCCGAAAATTTGCGCGTTGTCTTTCCAGGCAAGTGTCAATAAGCCCGTTATAATAGTTTGTGGCTTTTCGAATGGTAAGATTTTTTCTAATAATAATAATAATAATAATAATAATAATAATAATAAAACTTTATTTAAAGAGGGGACACACAACAGTTACAATAAAACACATCGTACTGAAAACCCAGTGGCCCTCTGAAAATTAAAACAATAAAAAACTAAGAAATACTAAAAAATACATAATCGAAAACAAAAAAAAAAAAAAAAAACAAACTTATAACTGTCGCGCGCAATATGCTTATTCCAAGACGGACAGTCGATTCACACGAAGCAATTCCTGTCGTTGCGGAGTGCGGGCGACAGTTGTGAGGATAAATCATAGCGTGTAAATCGGCGTTCATGAACCTTTTCTAATAGCTGTAGTGCATTCTTATAATGCCCCTTACCGTAGCTAAACCATTTCAGTGTTACGGCATTTGGTGCTGGCACGTGCTGTAAGCAGGTACCTTACGTTTCCCACTTATACCAAAAGCGCTGTGCTCAAAAGCAAAGGAAAGCCATTTCAGTGTTTCGGTATTTGGTACGATGTACGTGCTATAAGGAGGTACCGTACAGTTCCCACTCGTACCAAAAGCGCTCTCCTCGAAAACAAAGTAAAGCCATTTCAGTGTTGCGGCATGTGGTACCGTGTACGTGCTATAAGTAGGTACCGCACGTTCCCCACTTAAGCATAAAGCGCTCTACTCGAAAATAATGGAAAGCCAATTTAATGTTTCGGCATGTGGTACCGTGTACGTGCTTTAAGTAGGTACCTTACAGTTCCCACTCGTACCAAAAGCGCTCTGCTCGTAAACGAAGGAAAGCCATTTCAGTGTTGCGGCATGCCTTACCGTGCACATGCTATAAGAGGGAGCCAGCATTGAAGACAGTACAGCAACAATGAAAAGCCCCACGTGCTCGTCCCTTGTCATAAAAACATTACCTTTTTAAAATCATATTCTATTGTATTCATCTCCAGAACCCGGAATCCTACGGCTCACTGCTCGAGCTCTGCTGGAAAGGCACTAAACCACTGGACCTTGGTAATGGAGTCACCAGGAAGTTCCTCCAAGATGGCGACGAAGTGATCATGTCTGGTTACTCACAAGGTGATGGGTACAGGGTTGGGTTCGGCCAATGCTCTGGTAAAATTCTGCCTCCACATGTTTTTTAGGGTACAAGCTAGTGGTTCATCTAGGGGTCTTTGATTTTAAACATTACTGATCTATCTGAGGGGCTTAGCCCAGGACAACTATCCAAACCTTACGAACTTCATCAATATGTGATGGCATAGATCTAGAAACAAGCTATAAGTTATGTTGTATTGTGTATGGTCTCCTGACAACTGTCAGCCTACTAAATAACGTCATTCTACTAACAGTTGTCTGCATGGTAATTATTTATTAGGGTGTATGATTTCAGTCTTGAAATACAAGTAAAATATGGATGGTTTATATAATGGTACACGGTGTATATTTCCCCAACATCACACTGTTAGGGACCGGTTAACCTCATTTTCACTCGCTCCCTCACTCGTCTATCCCTTTCCATTACCCATTATCTGCACTGGTTCACTTCA